GAAAGTGTTTTTAAGAATGATACTCTGACTTAATGCTTTCCGTCATACGATGGCAGGATGCTGGACACTTTTTTACCGGAACCGGAGGAGATCACCCCGAAATTTGTATCAACAATCATGTACCAGTAGAGCCAATCGACAGCTGGTGAAGAAGAGTCCAGTGTCATGTTCTAGTCAGATCGACTTGAGAATCTTTGCAGCAAGCATTTTCTAACTAAAAACAAGTAAGCGCCAAACACAATTTTTCTTGGTTGGACTTTCATTTCATATGAAAGTGTATGAAGAAGGGTCTTGAAGGTCGATCTCACCAGAAGAGGACTGTTGAATCCCTTTGTACTGCAACCGTTTGGCTTTTATACGACGTTGAGATTAAGGCAGTCCACGAGACCAACCTTTCTTTGCATTAACTATGAATGTCTAGCCGGTGTGGCATTAAGTGCATTACAGGGTTTATACGTTATTCAAGAGTGATTATATGATTCTGCTTTTCTTGCAGAACGGTTTTGTTATTGATACACAATTCAATATGCTCTGTTTTTCGGTCACCCTATGAATTGGCATTGCTTTTGAGAGTGTGCAATTTTCTCAATTTCTTTCTGGCTCTAGTTTGGTGATCTTAACTTGAATCCAACCAACAGCTCGTTATAGCAAAATGAACTCCATGGACTTTCGTTCCACCATCCACAATCGCATCAGCTTCTCTATTCTATGCTTACTCTATCCACATTTCATTCAGTTGAGTGCAATAATACTTGTCGCTTTTCCGTTTCTGATGTAATCTTTAAGGAAATGCATACAAATAGTTGGACTCAGATGCTCAATTTGAAAAAATCAAGAGGACAGAATGCGTTGAAAGATGACTGGACAGCTGTACCCTAGATTTTGTGTTAACATGTCTCCACGATATGCGCACAATACTATTCCGGATCCTATCGGACGCACTGATGAGGTTTAAGCTGTAGTCAAGTAGGATGAAAACCAATAATATTTATAGTTATATTCATTTAATTGCTGTGAAAAGTTGACTATCAAATTGCTTAAATCACAGTAAACAATTTAAGGAGACTATATTATTATTCAAGCATTATTGATGTTTCAATTAATATTCATACAGAATACATCGAAAGTGCATAAATCCACCATTGCCTCAAGCCAACAATTTCCATGTACATTGTTCTTTGCCGAAAACTCGCCAAATGATAGATGAAGGGATTTTAATACCTGAAAAACTATCATCATCATCATCATCTGGCGCCAAGTGAGACTTTTACTCAGTAGAGCGAATAGGACAGAAATTGGTGAAGAAAAAAATTATTTTTCTCCTTGATAAATTGTCAGTAATTAACAATGTTTCAGTATTCTAAAAAGGCAAAATTATTATAGACTAAAAATATAAAGACTGAACGAGACAGAACAGGAAAGCATATAAGATACATACAAGTGGACTATGCTGATAATAATAATAATAATTATTTTCATCCTGGACGCAATTCAAGTTCATCTCGATTGGGTCTCACCATCATCCCAAACGGGATCCTACATTTGGCCAATCTGCTGCACAGCCACAGGCACCAGCAGATTACAGGATTGTCAGACTTTGAGGGAAAGCCATGCTTTCATACAAGCAATCAAGTAGGCGACGATGATTGTTCTCGATTAGAGTAGCTTTCAGGAATGTCACTTATTCTTGGAGGCAAACTTTGTCATTTGGAATGACTAAGAGTTCATTGTTTGCATATTCGATGTGCCAGATAGTTCCCACTAAATCTTGCATTATGGTTGTTTTTTGCTCAACGATCCTATTTGGTGCACTTGTCAAAAGAGCCCAGGTGTTGCTAAATCCTCACATTTGCCTCAAAGTTGGGAGTAACGTCTCTTTGGAACATTCCTCTTTAGGAGGAAGAGTGGGATAAAATTGAATTTTCCTTTGGCATACCGTTATCTAGTACGAAGTCTTAATTCTAATTATGCATTAATTGCAAAAAATATAGCGCATTGTCTAATAATTGAGCGATTTAAAATAGACATTTTAGTCGGTTGCTATGCTACAAACTCAAGGATGGTGTGGACCCTAGCCAGACGTTCGAGCTCTGCGCTATCGCCATTCAGTCTTGATGGGCGAAACAATCACATTATCGTTAAGTCATTCATACTTGAACGTAGAATAAACACTGTCCCTCTCTAAAACTAGGTCGACATGCTGATCACGCATCAGACCGCCGACCTGCGCGACTATGTCAGATCCGGTGAATGGAATGTGATCAGTACCCGGCTGATACGTCATGTGCGCTCGTATCCTCTGGACAACTTCAACTACACCGACATCACACTCTACGTCTGCATGAACCGACGCGTCGTATACTACATCATCAACATTATTCTGCCCTGCATTTGGTTGAACATTTTGAGTACCCTACAGTTCTTTCTGCCACCCGAAGCCGGTGAAAAGGTAAGCTAAAGCAGACCTTTATGGGTACTCTTTTTGCAAGGATGATCGTCCCTCGTCAAACCTATTCTGAGCTCGGTTGTTCGGCGAATGAGGGCACCAGCTCCTTTTAATTTTTCACATTTCGGAATGGCGACTGGTTAAGGTTAAGTTTTTTGTCAAAATTTCCCCACGCTTTACTGTCTCATGAAAGATACAAAGATGGGAAGATGACTCCCAGAGCCGTCGTTTTTCAAGCAAAATTCACCAAAAACTATTGTCGGACAGCAGAACAAAAATTATCTATTTTATCAGTGCATCCTGAATAAGGTTACTTGAAGTGAAGATACTTTCAAAAATAAGTCTACACTTTACAAGTCCCCTCGTGTCAGTTTGTCATCCGGCAGATGTGGCCCGACTAGAAACAAGACCCTTCTAACTCAGATTTATAGCCAAATTGTGATAAATAATCAGCGAAATTACTTATATTCAGAACGCGTAACTATTAGCATTTTTTGAAAAAAAATGAAGTCACTCTAGGCTGCTTAAGTAGTATTAGGGATTGATATGATATTATTTCCCTGAATGGTATACATTTTATTCACTCCTATTACAAATAATGGTTTTCTTATTTATGCGGGAATCTACTTACACCGAATATAAGTAAAGTCATTGTTTTAACGGCAAATAAAATCTTAAATTCACAATTGCCTTCTGATTTACTGGCAATTGTGGCTCTGCGGCGGAATCGTAAAGTATTTTCGCTTGATGAGCACGACCTGGCTCGAGTCCCGTTTGATTGCGGATAAAACCGTAGAAAGATTGAAATAGCCGTTTAAGTGCTTATTCATCTCGTTTGGCATTTATTCGACGAAACGACCTCTTGACCCATACAGAGGTTAGAATAAAATTCTTATTGCATAAGATTAGTTTGACTTGAATGGCAATCACCAGAAACGGCAGATAGCTTTTTTGGAACGATGATCAACCTGGATGGCTTTAGCGATCCACGAAACGATAATTAAGATGCCTTCGTTAAAATGAGGAAAGTGCCTTGGAATGCAGAAAATTTTCATGTTCCATGTATTTAAAATGCCTATCTTCTCTCGGGGTGACTGTGTTTTTTACCAAGGACGGAATTCTGAACGCCAAGAAGAATTGTATCATTGAGTCATCTCAAAAGTGTGTTGATGAAAGTCAGTCGAAGATGAGATCACCCACAAATTCACAAATTAAAGTGTCCACGAGTATCTTCCAAGAGGCTGACTCTTGGGTCCAACTGATTGGCTCAAATATGCTTTGGCCACATCTTTTCATAAACGAGAATAATAATAAGCATGGGGAGGCATATGAAAATATCGCAAGGAGACTCTTCCTAACCCCTATTCAATCTGAGATTTATTCACCCTATTTCACCTTAAACGAAATATGGTGGATACATCTCATTTAACGTATTTACTGATAGTTTCGAAATTCAAGGTATATACGAATAATCTTCTTCAATCCATTTGCAGCCAACATTTATTCATTTTTGTATGAATCATGAAACACAACTACAGGGAAGCCGATAAGCAGGTTGGTCATTTTAGTCTCCTCTACCGGCGGAAGGAGGGAGACTGAAACGTATCCTAAACGGAATATCCTGTTCGCCTTGTCTTGCCTACGTGATTTGTGTCAATATGAGTAGGTTTTGAGACTAAATTCTTGTTCCTCGCTTTTACACAAAAAATGGCAAGATTGAACAAAGTAACACACTTTTCAAACTGAACTAGAAGGAAACAATTATGTTTTAAAAGATAGTTTAACGTCGTTTTTTAACGATGCGAATCTTAAAAAATATAGTCGCAACTATACACATACATTCGAGGTCACATTCAAGAGAAAAGTCTTGCTGGCAAATGGTTGCCAGTAGAGCTAATCTATATGCAAAACATAAGAACAAGTCTTAATTGAAGAAGAGAAAAAGCTTCTCTCAGTGAATTCATATAGAATACGGTATTATGAACCACCCCAGTACAGGAACCAAGACTAGAAGTATCAACACCGACAAAACAGCGAGGTTGATTGTACTACCAAAACAATCCGCATCCCACCATTGCTTAGCAAAGTTGACCCGATGCTTTACATCCACTCTTAAGTTGATGGATGACTATCGGGTCCAAATAGAGAATGTCCTCCCTCCAAACATGAATACGATAGAGAAAAAGTTTAGTAATGCCTCACTTTTAGATAAAAGTCCCCAGAGTTTATACTCATTTTGTTTAATTCGATGAGTGGATTACGAATTTGTCAATAAATCTTATATAAGGATCCAAAATAGTTTTGGTTAAATGCGGACATCTAAAGATAGATAGTTAGAATTCCCATAGATTCATATTTACTACTGAAAATCTTGTACATAAATTAAACTTTTATCTGAAAATACAATCAACGAATAATAATAAGATCCTGAAAAATAAGTTTTACGGAGAAAGAAGTGTTTGGGGCAAGGCTGAATGCAATTCAGCCTCAGAATGCAGAGACTTTCAATGCATCCCCTAATAGAAAATTAATTTTTAGAATTTGTGTCACCTAAAATGTCTGAAGGTGACATCTACCCATCGTCTACACACCCAATTATTAAGTAAATAAATGTATTCTTTTTGATGATAGCAAATAAAAATGGACTCTATCGGCACTTTGAAGGGAATCTGAAGAGGCCTGGCCTTCCATGAGGGCCATTTGCCTCTTCGACCCAATGCTCATCATAGTTGTGTGGTGGAGTGGTATCATTGCAACGTAATACAAACGACTGAGTTTGAGTACCTTCAAAAGTAAAGGTCTTCCCCGACACGAGGGGATACTTGGACAATTCTTAATCCTCCCTTATTTCAGAGCCTCCAAACGTCCCATCCGGAATCAAATGTCCTATTAAAATGTCTTTAAAAAAATTCATTATTCGACCTTGAGGCAGGAAACAATTCAGGAACTTACTTTGATTCAAGTAGAATTTGAGACTTAAAATAAATTAGTTTAGGTGGCTTTGAGGCAAAATTAAGCGAAATCCTAAAGGCTTCCATGCATTTCTGTCAGGTAAACTCTAATATCATTTGATGTAGAACCATAATCTACTAAAGGTGTCATGGGTAGTCAGTTGGATATATCCTATTTATGGTCGAAATTTGCCTGTGGAATACAGTTCGAGCAGTAAATAAGCTAATGAGCGATGAAAATATGCAGATTTTAAA